CCTCTGAATCTGTCCTTTAGTGGGGTGGATCCAACATAGAGGATCTGGACCTTAGCAAATCGTGGGTTGATGCTTGTAACCTGTTGGCAAAAGACCTTCACTCCCCTGGAACTATAATGTTGACCAAGCCTCTTTCATAACACTGTAAGTCCACAATCACCAGGACAAAAATGACATTCTGTTTCACTGGCACCTCACATCTATAATAGGATTTTTCAGCTATTATCTACAAATTAAGATATTATTAGTCTAGGGTGGCAAAAAAAAACAATAATACCAAAATACAAATGACCAAAAAAACAGTGAGGTAGGCTTATGTTAGTATTGCTATGCCTGTGCAGCACAGAGCAAACTGAGGGATGCTAGGACAGAGAACTTCATACTTCTGTGTAAAACACCCTGGAGGACAGAGCCCCTACCTTGCATGTGACTGTAGCGCCAACATCAGGCAGCAGCTGAGCCTCACTCTCCTTCACCACCGAGACCACAGGCATCTGCAGAACACAACAGCCAAGACAAATCTCCCATTGCTAGAACAGTACTCTTGCACCATCACAAATGCACAATCCAGTTTCAATGACCATTTACAGATCTTTCTGGTATATTTTAAACCATTTTCCTCTGCACACACAACACTTCCTTCCACACTTAGGAGATGCACTTGGAGGAAGTACAATTCTTCCACACTCTCACCCACCTCCTCTCCCGCGTTCTTCCTCAGCACATAACCAGCGAGGGAGGCAAAGATGTAGCCATGACGCAAGTACGTTCCAGGCCCCGGGACACACTCCTCTGTGCTGCACAGCCTCTCTCCTGCGGGACGACAATATTTACAGGCAACCACTGCTCAAAGTCCAGCCCCAGAGCAACAGAACAATCAAACAATGCTGTTTATACTGTCAGCATCACTTGAAAATAACAACTTTCAAGTGCCAACTTTAATAAGGACGGAGTCAGAAGACGTGGCTTAATGGTTTAAATGTCTACTTTATAAATGGCGTTAAGCTTCAAAAATAGTCTCTACGGCGTACCTAAAACACGAATTTCGTCAGGATGATGTAACTGTCGGTAAAGCGAGGTTAACTTTACAAACTATACTAGGTTTAAGTGTTTGGCTCCTGATGGATTGCTTTGATACTGCTACTGTTTCTAATGTTATACCTCACCATACACCGAGTCCTTTCAATACGACTTTTATCATTCAATTGCAAAGTTGTTCTGCAAGACAGGTATACCCATACTCAGTTTCTGGCATCACTTTATGAATACAGCTACCGAAAACAGCAACGAAATGTGCTATAACCTCTGTTGCCCCGAGAGACCTACCCTTACTGACAAAAAAGTGTTATATTAAACAATGTGGCTCAGTCAGGGGATCATTTTCAAACTTTTAAGAATTACTATGATTTTTACTTTAAAAACTCACACAACATTTGGTGAATGAACTAAGAATCAATACAAGACAAGAAAGTGAAACCCTGCAGTCAAAATGTATCCATGTGTGTATTAACTGCTGTCAGGTCCAGACGATTCAGTCATTAAATACATTTTATTTCACATAACGTTTTTAAACCCCACGTACCTGGCACACACAGCGTCTTAGGAGACATGTTTTAAGAATAGAATAAAAAAAGCTCCGATAGGCCCACACGGCAGAAGCAACGAGTCCGCTGATTGGCCAAACCTAAGAACGGCTGTTCTAGATTAAGCTTTTTTAGTGGTTAAGTGTTACTGACTTCCGGTCGAGTAAGAGTTGGGAAAGCTGTGACCTGATTGCGAGTCTATGATGTGCTTTTAATTTTACCATGGCTACATTTTGTTGTATTGCAAGTTATGTTAATCTGAATACATCAGTTAACAGAAAACATGGAGTAACATTCCACCTGTAATTGTACAGTTCGAGTACGTAGCTGCTTCAGAATGCGTAGGCTGCAAAGGGACAAGTAAACGTATATTCCACGCGGAAACATTACGGTTCGGCTGTGGAGCCTTCTTCAGGTGTGATATTGTTAAAGCCACATCTGAAGACTACACGGCCGAAACGTTGCGTCTCTTTTTTTTTCCTTTCAGCATGGAATAAACCTCTACCTGTGCCTAAATGTACAGTTGTTTTAAAATCGGAGATAGTGATGAGCAGAAGAGTATCACCTTTAAAGATTTATCTATGCAGGCTTTATGAATGTTTTTACCTGAAAGGGAAGTTCTGCTCTGACAGGCTGAAATCACTTTCATGTGTCATTTTTCAAAAACGTTCTGGAAGCACAAATGCATTTTATGTAGTCTACATTTTGAGAGCAGTAGTCACGGATAGCTTCATGTAATCGAGCAGTCCCGTCACGGTCGTCCACTTGTCTGTTCACTATCTTCTGTCTAAAATTATTTTCAGGATTGCATTTTTCTTTATGTGCTCCTCTACTCTAGTTATACTTTACACTACTTTAGACGTGGCTGAGAAGCTGACCTGTCTATAATTCCTTAATTCAATTTTGTCCCCGTTTTGGTATGAATGGTAATTACATTTGTCATTTTCCAAACAGGCAGGGTACCCTGTACTCCAAGGGTTATTCGAAATACTTTTTCAGAAAAGCGGGTCTGGTCCACATGTAGTTTGAACGTCACACACCTCCTTAATTTATCGCCGGATTAAATCGTTTACAACGATGGTATTTTCACCTAAATCAAATGTTTACTTCCCCCATTTGTGAACACCTGTATAATCGTTTACTTCTTCCACTCCGCTCTTCTTGGATAATAGATGTGCATCCCAATTACCCTTTGTTTCTTTACAGCTAAACTTTACAAAGGATAGAATACAGTTCAATCCATCCAATCCATTTTTTAAATATTTTCCTATTTTAGTATTTTACATATGTCCTGTGCATTACCTAACCGTGTACGAGCTCCATGGATCTCAGACCCCATCTTCATCAGTCCTCTCAGGAAACACACCAGAGCATAACTAATTTTACTTTCATAGGTTTCATGGTACATACTGTAATGCCAGCGTTTTTGTGGACGTGTTTAAAACACAGGATGAATTATGTCCAGCAGAGGGCAGTCTGACCACACTTCTCCCTGTTGAAAAGCACCTTACAGGAGCACCCAAGACCCTAGCAGAGAATATCTCCAACAATTAATTTAATTCTTCCAACAAATACGTTTCTCTGGCAAGTGTGAAATGATACTATTAGTGATGTGGTATTTATGAAGACTAAAGATCAGATTTCAATGTATGTTTAAATCTTATTTCAACTAGAAATTTTCATGTTTTTATATAGCTTAACAACAGGAGTATATGGAAGTGCAAAAGAAAAAAAATCATAAACATAATTTTATAAGATAAGTGAAAATAAGGGACAAAAGTCAATACAAGTTCTGCACATCATAAGATTTATTTGTTTTACACAAGGGGTTCAGTGTACATCAAAACAGTGCATTGCAATAAACCCTAATCAAACTGAAGCTCTCTGAAGAACCACTGGCAGCAAAGCCACATGAACAATCATGTGAAGAGCAGGGGCAGAGTATCCTGCAC